TGACCCATAAATCATATAGCATGTAAAAAGAAACTAAAAGCAATTTTTTTTATTTAATTATCTTTGCTTCCAACAAGGCTGCAAGCAACCACTAATTAGTGTTGGAAGTTACTGGAAGAGAAAAGATAAAGATTGTAGAGCAAGATAACGATTGACAGACGACTTAAAAGATTGCAAATTGTATGAATCAGGAAAGCAAGATGAAGGAAGCAAATTCCAAAGAACTGATGTTTGAAGAAAAAAACTAGACGAATAAGAGTTTTTGGAGCACAGTAACAGAAAAAGGATGAGACTTAATTGAATGATGAGTAACACGAGAATGAATTTTAGTAGATGGCACAAGAGACGCTAGCTCTTTCGAGCAGTGCCCATTAAAGTATTTGTAGAATAGAGAAAGAGAAGCAACATTACGACGATGTGGTAGAGGTTGAAGGTTGGCTGCAAGAGCAGGTCCAACTATGTTTACAATGCGTTTTTGCACCTTGTCTAAAAAAGAAAGGGCATCATTAGAAGATCCGCCCTAGATATTGCAACAGTATTCCATACAAGGCCGGATTTGAGATTTATAGAGATAGAGAATAGAATCCAGAGTAAGAAAGTGATGAGCTCGATAAAGAGAAGCAACTTTAGCAGATGCAAATTTTGCAATGGATTTGATATAAGGTTTCCAAGAAAGATCAGAAGTAAGAGTTAATCCTAGAAGATGAAGGGTAGGAGACTCATCGAGTACATTACCATTCATAAGTATAGGAAGGTCTAAATTATTGCGATAACGATTGGCCGAAAAAAATTGAGTTTTATCTGAATATCTGAAAAAAGTTCACCAGCCACTGTGAGCCCCATGCTGTAGCAGATGTGAGATCCCCTTCAAGCTCAGATGCCCCCTGCAAGCAATCAGAGGGAGTTGGCTTCTTATCGTGACAAGAATAAATGGTAGTATCATCAGCGAACAATGCCACCTTAGATGTGAGAATATCTGGAAGATGGTTAATGTAAATTAAAAAGAGCATAGGGTCAAGGATTGAACTTTGGGGAACCCCTGAGGTTACAGAATAAGAAGAAGAGTGCTGTCCATCAAGGACAACTTTTATACTACGATTGGAAAGAAAGGATTCAATAATCTTAAAGATGTTTCCAGATACACCATAAGAAGAAAGCTTATGGAGAAGACCAACATGTCAAACTTTATCAAACGCTTTAGAAATGTCAAGAGCGATGGCCTTAACCTCTCCACCTTTATCTAATGCGCGATAAAACCTATCGGTTATTACTTATAGCAAATCAGCCGTAGAACGAGAAGATGAAAATCCATATTGATGATCAGAAAGTAGGTTATGAGATTCGAGATTCGAGATTAAGTGTTTGTTAATTAAAGATTCAAAAACCTTGCTTATGATAGGAAGAAGACTAATGGGTCGGTAGTTAGACAAATCAGATCGCTCTCCAGAATTTTAAAAAATAGGGATAACAGATGCTGCTTTCCAGCAGGCTGGAAAACAAGACTCTGATAAGCACTTGTTAAATAGTTTTGAAAGGATAGACGACAGCTCCGGAGAACACTTCTGCAAGACTATAACAGGTATGTTGTCTGGGCCGCAAGCTGTAGAAGAGTCTAAGCGGGAAATCACTTTAGATACAGAAGCTGGAGTGATACGAATGTCAAGCAATGGATCAATCTGTTTGACGGCTATATCAGGTAAAACGCAACTAGTGGCATCAAGAGATGATATTAATGAAAAGTTTTTGGCAAACAATTTAGCTTTGTCTTTAGGTGAGGTGACAAAGTCTGAACCATACAAAAGAAGTGGAATTACAGACTTGCCCTTATTATTGATACTATTAAAGATTCTCCAGAAGTCACGAGAGCCTTATTTTTGTGATGAATAACGAGATTTCATGATCTGAGAATAGCGGGCTTTGGCATTAGACAAAACCTTTTTACAATGGTTCCTAGCAGTAATAAACAGACGTCTGTTTTCTGGAGAATTGTTTTGCTGATAGATATGGAAGTAATGGTTTCGATTGGCATTTGCAGTAGCACAATGTGAGGAAAACTATGGAGAAGAGTGAGGCTTGACCTGGAATCGTAGAGTGGGAATAAAGGATTCCATGCCAGCCTGAATCCACTTAATAAATTTAATAAAAGATTAAAGCTTTTTAGGATACAATAAAATAATAGGTTCCGAACAATGTAATAAAAGATTAAAGCTTTTTAGGAATCCTTAATGTTGCAAAAATCACTACAAAAAAACAAAGTGTAACAACAAGCAATGGTTGCAAAGAGTAGAAAAAAATAAACCAATACTTAACAAAAAAAAAAAAAATTTTTATTTTGGGTATATATACCCAGCAGGCATTTGTTTTTAAAATTTATGTTTTAAATATATTTTAAATGTCTTTTAAACGTTTTTTAAACATTCTTCGGTAAAGAACGTTTAAAAAACGTTTAAAAGACATTCAGAATGTAACTTTTAAAAAAAAATACCTTTAGGGACTGAACTTATTTGAAAGATTGTTATTTTAAATTAAACTTTTCATCTTTTTAAAGTTTCCCGCCATTTAAAAATAATATTTTAATTTTTTAAAAAATATCCGGATGTCAGATATTTAATGAAATTTATCCAGATTTTCAAATAGTCAAAATAAGACCAATTATCTGAATAATCAGATATTTGGATATCTGGAATGCAAACTTTATAGTATATATTATCTTTATATATGTTATGTATATAATATCTGTGAAACTTCAAAAGTGTTGATTTATGTTTTTTTGAAAAATTGCCAAAGATTAAAAAAAAAAGTAAGGTGTCAGTGGTAGGATTTTAACCACGGTGATGCACCTCAGAAACACTGCAAGCTAACCACTTTGGCCACTTAGGCATATTATTTGATAAAAGCTTTAATAGTGTTTAATAAACAAAAGACTTTATAAAATGGCAAGTAAACGCTTAAAGGTATGAAAGTTTAATAAACAAAAGACTTTATAAAATGGCAAGTAAACGCTTAAAGGTATGAAGTTGTTGTCTAGGAGATTTTGCCAAATGCAATTTTCAAGTAAAAGTAAACTGTAAAACTTGATGTTTTAACATAGAATTTGAAATTTACATAAGTTAGATATTTGCATACATTTTCGTTCACAATTTCTTATAAATAATCCAGCAAAGATGTTAATGTTGAATATGATCCAGCAAAGATGTTAATGCTAGAATAGGAGCTTGAATTATCTCTAAAACTTGAATTTGTATCTAAACTTAATTTATAAAAAAGCAGTGGCTTTATTCAACAAGTTTCTTCTTTCAACTTTTAGGGCTGAGAAAGAATTTTTTTAATTAAAAAAAAAGTATCCTCCTTGATTGTATTGAGCCCTCTGGAGCTTTAGAAAGGTCAATTTGATAAAAGTAATAATAATAAAAAGATTTTGGAATTAAACTTTTTTTTCCTTTTTTTTTCAATTTTTAACAACATTTTAATAAAACAAAATAACTATAAAGCTGTCAATAAGACAACTAAGTCTATATTTTTGGATTGTTAATTTATGTATTTATGCACCTAGCTAGTATCATTTTGTAATTCACTTTGTTATAATTGTTATATATATATATATATTTTTTTCTTGGGAGTTATTTTCCTATGCTTAATTGTATTAACTCTGAATAGAAATAAAAAATGATGTCTTGAAAAAAAGATAAATTATTTAGTGATTATTTTTGACTTGAAAAAGTTATGCCAATTAACATTGATGTTTTTATAATGTTTGAAGTATAGTTGTATGTGCAAGGCTTTCGGGGATGTATTGGTAGTTAAAATGTAAATCTACTTTACTATAGAAATAGTTCTGTTAAACTTTACTTTCTATCTTGACTATAAATAAATCATTTTTCTATAATAACCAATACTTTTCAGTATTCAGAAATATTATTTATTTTTGAAAAATGATATTTTGCAAATACAAATGAAATAGTTTATAAAAATGTTTGTTCCTTTCCATTTTCCAAAAGTTGATCTGGCAAAAGTTATGCTAAAAGCAATATTGGTGTATTATGTGTGATAAAGATCAATTAATGTTGCTGCAGTTAAAATCTGATCAACAAAAATTGCACCAGTTAAAATCTTAATATTGCAAAAGTTAAAATCCTTTGTTTTTCAAAAGAAATTAAACTGTTTTTATGATATTAAAGATAACATTTTATGTTATCTTATCTGATGTAAAATGTCCTCAATAATCTTACGTAACATAACATTAATGTTGTTGGTAGGAAGTATCTCATCTGCCTACCATTTAAATTGATACAAGTGTTTAGTCAAGTCTCAATAGTGTTTTATTTTTTGCTAAAAAATTTTGTTTTTCAACGAGAAATAAATTCGTAAATTTTTTTATAGTTTTTTAAAAAGAATTTCTTTAATTTGTGTTTTCATAAATTTTTTTAATTATAAAAATTTATTTTTGATTATATTTGGGACATGTCTGATGTTTAAGGGTCTTGTATTTTTTACTTTTTTTTATTTTTTTAAATATTTCAATAAGCAGCACCTCCTATACATGACCCTCCCCCTGAATAAGTGCTTTTAACTTAAAAATAAAGTAAGCACAGATGTTCTTTATTGATCCATTGCAGTAAATTCTTTTATGTGTCTCAATGCTTTATGTTGCCCATGCCAAACCCATAGTTGATATAACAGCACTCCTTTGTGACAGCAGGCTATAAGATAGCGGATATATGTACTGAAGCCCCCACAACTTCCTGTTTTTAAATGATATCTTCAGTGTATGTCTCTCTCTCTCTCTCTCTCTCTATATATATATATATATATATATATATATATATATATATATATATATATATATATATATATATATATATATATATATATATATATATGTTTGTATGCATATATAGTAATTAGTTTATTATTCATTATTAAAATATTTAGTTATAATGAATTAATATTATATTATATAATTAATATTATTTTAAATACTTTATTATGATTTAATTCAGATTTTTTCAAAGAATCGAAAAGGGTGGGTTTTTTTACTTCATCCATCTCCAGAACTATGGACTGTTTCACTCCCACATCGAACACAGATACTTTATTCAACTGATATATCTCTTATTGTAATGGAGCTAGAGTTAAAGCCAGGATCCATTGTAGTAGAATCAGGTAATTTTATACAAAATTTGATTTAGTAGACTAATACTCTACATCTCTACAAGGCCTTAAGTAATGCAAAAAATTTCAAATCCTCTTATTCTTCTCCTCACTTCTTGCATAGGTAGTTAGAGGCAAGAGGTGCTGGAATAACTGCAAAGTTTAATTAACCAGTGCAGTCAATTAAATCTTAAAATTAATAAAATTAAAATTTAAAAATAATGAAAAGCATCACCAACTTGCTAAATTGAAATTAATTCAAGTCCTTCTATCATATTTATCAAGATATATTTTTTGTATACACATTAAGATTCCACCCCCTATGCCATCCACCCTCCTTCCCCATCATATTATGCTCTTCTGTTTTGTTTATTTTATAGCATTTTTAAACTGTTACTGTTAATGGTCATACATAGCTAGTATTATTTATAACACTTTTGTTATTATAATTCTTTATGTTTTAATTTTATAATTTTATTGCACACATTGTTTTAAAATTTTTTTGTGTTTAAACCATATAGACTAAGATATTTTGAATTTTTTTCTTTTTGCTAAATCTACAAAAAAAACCTCTGCAAACAGGTGAATTATGCTATTGTCCATGAGAATTTAAAAGCATGAGATTTTGCTGCTCTAAATCAACCAGAGATTTTGCTGCAAATCAACCAGAAATAAAGCATCATCAAGCAGAGTTTGATAAATTTAATCTTGTATCTAGCTTAAAATCAAATTTAGGTTTATATTTACTGCAAGATGAGGACAGGGAAAGGAAGTTAAAGAAAGACTAAATCTTTTAAATTTTTGTAATTTGATAAATGTTCACTTTAATATTTATTTAGATAAATAAAAATCTCTTTAGATAAAAAGTTTAGCTTGTTATTTTTGTGTTTTTCGGGTTCAAGTACTTGGAATCAGCAAGTCCAGAGTAAATATCCAGATCCGATACCCAATCTAAGACTCAACAAGTCTTATCGTGATCCGTATATTTTTCCCAAATTATTGTTTTTTTTTTTTACTGGAAAGAATTTCCTAGTCTTTATAATTTGTTTTATTAATCACACTAAACAATTAGCTGTTTGTGATGTATTATATAAAAAGAAATTACAGTTATGCAAATTACCATTATTACCATTATGCAAATTACCATTATGCAAGATGAAGATTACCATGGTCAAGATAGTATTGATGATGATCAAAATGAAAATTATTATTCTGGCGAGAACAGCAATGACATCAAAGAATACAGGCAAGTTGAATTAACAAATTTAGACAATATAGAAGAAAATATAAAAATTGTTTGTATAATTGTTAAATTTTTTTTCGAGTTCTGTGTGAAATAATATTTGGCGAGAAAAGATCAAAATATTTTTTAGGAAACTTCAGTTAATGTTAAATGTAAGAACTCCTTGGAACTCATTGCTCAAAATGATATCTAGATTTTTAAAATTATTTGATATCATTAATGAAGCTTATTTAATACAAAATATTAATATTGAATTGTTACATGAATTAGACATTACACTAAAGCCTATTAAGTTGACTGTTAAAGCTCTTAGTAGAGGCAATGTTAATCTTGTAACAAAGCTCTTAGTAGAGGCAATCCTAATCTTGCAACAAAGCTCTTAGTAGAGGCAATGCTAATCTTGCAACAGCCCGGTTAGCAATTGATTTTATGTTGAGAAAATTAAAGGAATCCAATTATAATTTAAGTAAAGAGTTATTAATGACAATGAACAATTGAATAAATAGTTTTAAAAAGCAAGAATTTGTTGAACTATTCTCTCTTGTAAGTGGTACTGTGTCTTCAAAGAAAAGACCAACATTTACAACACATTTACTTAAGAGATTATTTGATGGGGATGAAAAACAGCAAAACTCACATTATGAACAGGGACATTTAACAGAAATAACAAAAATACTACAGGAAATGCACTAGCATTAACACTGGAAGAAGAACTACTGAAAATATTAGAAAGTGCGAAATGTCTAATTTTGCCGATTCGCTAAGATAAATTAGCTGATCTTAAAAAAAAAATGTATTGTTTCAAAAAACTAAAAAAAGAACTGCATGTTTATAAAAATTGTATTACGCATTAATTACTATAAAACCAACATCAAAAAATTCAGAACGAATATTTTCTGTAGCATCTAACTTCTGTACAATAATTCGCTCTAGATTATCAGACAATTCATTGAGTGTATTAGTTTTTTTAAAGTTTCATTTTTTAAGTAAAATGTAATTGCTCTGGTATGTGTTAAACACTTATATGTATTTTTTTAATTTAGTTAATTTAATTTTGCAAGTTCATTTACATGCATTTTATTATAAATTATAATTTATGTTTGTAAAATAAAAGAAGTATAGAATAATATATTTATGCTAGGTGTTAAAGCCAGCTAAAAATTGTTTTATTTACCATAACATTTTAACAATTAAAAACCTATCCTGGTTTTTAATTGGTTTAAACACAAAAAATCTTTTCATGCTATTGTTAAAATTGCAAGAGAAAAAGACCGGGTATTCCCAAACCTCTAGTTATTAATGCTTATATGTTTGATAAAGGGATCCTTTAGAACCCAGAAGGTACTTGTGCAAGTTATATCCATTTCATAAAAAAGTATTAGAAAATAGGTTAGTAATATATTTAAGCTGTAACCTATAATTTGGTGAGTGTACAAAATACACTTAAAAGCATTGGTTTTTAATTATCATTATTTAACATTGTTACATTATTTAAAATCCACTTTTCAAGTTTAGCTTTAAAGATTTCACAGAAATAACATTAACAACATCAGAAAGCAGTCGATTTCAATACAAAGATGTTCTGTTTGTTAAAAAATAATGTCTAAGCAAAAAATTAATTATTTCACAATTATATATTGTTTAAAAATGTCTCCTTGATTGATAACTTTTTGGCAAAACTTCTGTGACTAAAATTACTTTTCAATTCCATTGAATACCTTGTACATTTGAATTAAATCACCCCCAACTCGTCTTACAACTGAAGTAGCGAGGTCTAACTTATCAAACCTTTTCTCATAGTTTTTTTAGTGGCAATCCAGTAGTATAACAATGAATCTTTTCTTAAATATTCATTTTTAAGATTTGGAGACAACACAGGTACTGCAAATTCAAAAAAACGGTCTTACAAAAGTTGTGTATATATTTTTTAGTAATTCCCTGTTAAAACCTAGAAACATACTCAAAACTTTTGTTTTACTTGCACATAAAGTAGTTTTATTTTTCCATTTAAAATCAGAGCTAAATACTACACCAAGATCTTTTTCAGTTACTTAAAAATGAAATAAAATCTTTTTGATTTATTGGATTTTAACTTTTGAACTATTTAAATTAACCTACAAAAAATATTTCTTTATAAAATAAGTTTTTATTGTTTTTTTAGGTAATACTTTTTGAGTCACTATAGCAACAAGTCACAAGTCACTATAGCAGCTTGTGATTTAGAATTTATGATGTGTGTATTTATTATTTATGCTTTAATGCATTTATTTAGGTCAAAAATTCATAAATCAGCCCTCGGATTGTTTCGGCAATGTCGACCTAACTGTTGACCTCTAAGTGTTTGAGGTCAACAAAAATTACTGAACTCATTTCTATTTTTTATATGGTATGACCTTTTTTATCAATTTTTTTCTGCCAAGCTGATGCTGACTTCTAAAATATTCTGAAATATCGACAATAATTTGCTGACCTCATTTTTCCTAATTCTGAGGGTTGATAATTTCAACACCAAATAATGAACATTATGGGTTTATTTTTATAAATTTATATTAAATTCTTTAACAAGTTTAAAAAAAAAGTAGTTTAATATGTGTTTAATATTTATGACTAATTTCTTCTTTACATGATAATTAAATAGTTTTTAAAAACAAGAAACTTTACCTGCTATAAATAAAACAAAATTTTTTTTTATAAAAATAAAAGTAGTTAAAATAATCTGTTTTTTAAAATTGTTTTAAAAAAACAAAATAATAAGGGTTTTCTTTTACTTGTGCCTCATTGGTAGTAGCTATGCACCTCTTTCTGTTACCTCATAATTAGGGTAAAGCTCTAAAACTCAGTTTAATGGTTTCCAAAAGTCTAATGTACCTGTATTAGGGGTTGATTCTATTAACTATAAAATATCAAAGTTTTAACAGTCCCGTTTTGCACATGATGGTATCCCTGTTAGTGCTTTTTATGTGCATTGTCATTTTTTTATAACTTTTGGTTGGTTAGCAGTAATGAGGTAACCACAGTTTACTGCTTAAGGTGTCATCTATTACTGCTTAGGGTGTCTATCTATGATTGATTTTTTTATTATTTAAAACATAAATTACATTTTCAAAAAACTTTACCACCAGATTGTTTCGAACCGTTCTTAGCAAATTCATGGTCTTCAAAGTAAATTTTCATTCATTGAATCTTACCACTTGCAAAATTTACCAGTCACCAAACTCCTACTTGCTTTTTTGTGAAGCATATATAAATTAACCAGTCCTGCTTGCTTTTTTGTGAAGCATATATAAATTCACCAGTCCTGCTTGCTTTTTTGTGAAGCATATATAAATTCGGCTGTTTTACCTTCAGATCTTAATTTTGATAGTTATTATCCTTTGATTTGCTAAGACTGTAATAGTCATATATCACTTAGTCTGGGCATATATACTTATGTATCAATTCACCTATTTGTTGTAAAATCATGTTTAAATCCACTGGACATTTTCTGTGCTTTTGTTTAGCATCCCTCTTTCTTTATGTTCTTTCTTATCTTTTTTATTATGTTACTTCTTATCAAATTAACCAAGCCTTTTCTCATTATCTCTATTATTGTTGATTTAAAAACTC